GTAAGCCTCTGCCTGGAGGCACCTAGCTTATTTGCTCTGGAGCCAAGAAAGCTAGTGACTGACAAATGCTGAAATGCACCCTATTCTCTCAGGAAGTAAGTACTCTGCTTTGTCTCCAAGAGTTAGTTGATTCCCCTACTGTCTTGTGTCAGTATCCATCTCTCCTGGTTCTGCTGTTGCTCCTGCTTTGCCATTGCTTCCCATTATCTGTGCTCTCTCCCTGTGTTTGGAATCTTCACCCAAATTGCCTTTGACTTTTATCATTGTTCCAATAGTCTCTTCAAGGCAGTGTACGTTTTTATTATTAACTCATTGCCATTGAGTCTGACTAACTCATAACTGACCCTCCATTATTTCTGAGACTAAGTCAAATGGGAAATGATTGCTCATCTTTTTCCTGAGGAGCTGCTGGTGGATTCAAACTGACTGACTCCACCACCAGAGCTCCCGCAGAATCACTTCCACATTTCAGGTATCTGCTAGAGCAGCACCCCATTCCTGGCATGTAATATCCTAGGCTGGCTGTCCTAGAAAAGGCTTATGTGTGTGTATTTATAAAAGAGAGATTGAACTAAAAGGAAATGGCCCAGCTACTCTTAGAGTGAGAAATCAAGCTACCAGTAGAGGTTAACAAACCCAAGTTTGGCAGGTAAGAAGGTCACTGCAGTGGTTCAAGTCCAAAGAACCAGAGAGATGGTGAGCCAGACGCAAGATCCACATTGAGCAAAAAAACCAATTGAGCTCTGTCTTACTTAGATGTTCAGTGCAGGCCACACCCCTGAAGAAACTCCTATTCAAATGCTTAGCTGCTCTTAGCAGATCCCATCAAGGGAATGTTATATCAGACTTCATTAAATGGAATGACTACATCATAATTGCCAAACCAGAGATTCATTCACAGCCATCCAAGAGTTGACACACAGTCTTAACTATCATAAAATCCATTATAAATCATATTTCAGTGTGAGAGAGAAATCCCTTAATAAGCCTAGTTAAAAACAACTTCATGATATTGAAATACTTACTCCAGTGGCAACGCCAGGTGTGGTATTTGCATCAAGTCATTTTAGGGTGCCTTATGGAAATGCTTCTTGATAGGGAATCACTTGGTTTCATTTACTCTTCATCCAGAGATTTTGAGGGGCCTCCCCCCAAAGCCCCCATGTTTTGTTCTATTACTTTTTACATTGCTTTCATGAACTGAGTGAAGTACAAGCCCATGTTTAGCCAGGAGGTTCTATCCCCTCACACAGGATGGATTGTTGATATGACATCCACAGATTTGGGTTATACAGACTGAATGAATGACCTCAAAATTACCACATTTCTTGTATATTGGGAATAGACATCTAAAATGAGGGGCAACTATATTTGCATGTGATTTGTATATTTTGGATGCTCATTTAAATTCTTTATGTACTAAAGATTTTTTTTAGTTGCCACTTAGAGTAAACCTCTCAATCCTGAAACAGAGTGGCTTTCCACCTTAATTTTTGCTTCAATTTATAGTAAGTCCTCGGGGACCATAGTTCAGCTAAAAGCACCTAACCCATGAATGGTATTTGCTTCATGTTTGAACAACAAATGTTTTAACCCACTGTCTTCACTAATATTGTAACTACTGTCTTACAGATTGACTTGATGCAAAACATCACAAAGGCTCCATATTATACAGTATGCGATTTTTGAGGTATGAGCTTTAGAAACTTACCTCTCATGTGGCATGTACATCAGGCTTTACCTTCGGTTTGATCATTTTGGGAAAATTTATGCTTTTCTTTTTTTATTCTCGCCATAATATTTTTAGAGTGTTAATGGGGCTGTGGATATTCTTTGGATTCTTCCTAAAATTCTTAGCCTTAACAAGTATAGTTTTAACATTTTACTAAATTGAAACACTAATTTTGGCAGATGACAGCTTTTTTTAGTTCTCAAAACTAGCTTAACATTTTATGCTTGTCTCTTGAGTTCCAAACTCTTATTATTTGTGCCCTTGATTGCCTCATTCTAAATGTTCATTTTTGTTCTTCAAAAGTTTGCACTTTATTTGACTGGGGTGATGTTCTTTTTGGTGCTAACCACCTGTCATTGATTTTTTTCCCTTCTTTAGACTTATGCATGCAGTCAAGATATTAGAAGATTTTGTGTAATATATAAATGCTGAGCCACTTTGTACTTTGAGGTTTAGTGGTATACTTACAACCAGAATTCTTAGTAGAAAGGCATTGACCAATGAGTATTAAAGGAAGTTGGCTGTAAGAGAGTTTTTAGGGAGTTTTGAGACAATGCTGAGTTTATCTGTTATATTTTGGACAAGCTAGTTGTGAAAGAAAAACTAATTTTTCAGAATTCAAGAGATATTAAGAAAATGTATTTTTAACAGATTGGGAAGTGACTTATTCCCTCTCCCCTAGTTTTAATTCTGAGCTTTCTGGTTAAAAAAGATATATTAGTAGTAATAAATTGCTTTAGTCCTTCATTCAAGAACATAAAATCAGCAGTTTTGTATTGAGTATTTTGATGGTATACATAAGACATAGGAAGCCAGGAAATCTTGACTGTATCTTTCAAATAGTTTAAGGTTGTAAGAACTCTGTCCTCTGAGCTAAGTATTTCTTAAAGGAGGTGTTACTTTATTTAAGCCTCAGTACATTGTTAACATTTAAAAGAGATATTGCCCTCATTTTATTATGTAAGAGACAACCTCAGCTCAGAGATGAAGTGCTTGTGCCCAGGCGCACATACCTTTGCAGTGATGGAGTTGGGATTTGAGCCCAGATCTTTTTTTAACCTGTATTTTCTGCTGCCTTCTGTTTACTACCACATTACCAGAAAGTGGTGTGAATATTTTAATAATTGATAGTGAGGGTAATGCATATGATGCATAAAAAAGAAGGAAAGCAAGAAATGAAAGCAGATCTAAATATTAGTAACCAGTTATCTTGGTATTTCAGAATTCACCCTCTGTTTATATTATTCATTCATTCATTCACTCACTCATTCACGAACAGCTTGCTTTCTGGTTCTGTTGAATATGATAAAAAGAAACAGGTTCAAAATTATCGTAAAAGTTAATGAACTTTCATTTTATGTTTTCATTTCCTTTTCAGTTAAAAGTAATGGTTTATTATAGAGATCTAATGTGAAAGTTTTTTTAAGTAGAATGTCTAAATCTAATTTAAAAATAATAGTTCTCATGGTCCATTTTATGTTAAAGGTACTTAAATGCTTACAGGCTTTGTATACTTAGAACATAATCTTTAATATTTTTTAACATTCCATAGATTCTATTTTTCTATTTGTTGAGAGTACCAGGCTTTGCTTATCAAGTGAGCCTAAGTGATAACTCTGATAGATTTGTAATTATTTAATATGCTAGGGAGTCTGCATTTTGTTATCAAGGTTCAGATTGAAAATTTAGGAATAATGTTGACTTGTACCATTTATGTGCCTGAGTTTAATTGGGCATTTTGTCTGCTTTCTGTATTAGTAACTGTAGTAAGAATAGCTCTGGTGGCCTTCTGGATAGTGAGTTGTGCTTCCAATTCAGAGGCAGGCAGTTCATATCCAACAGCAAGGGAGAAAAGATGGGCAATATCTTCCTCTAATTTATAGTCTCTGTCACCTGCTGGAGGGTCATTATGAATTGAGTTTTGTTGAGTGGTTATAGAATAAGGTGTTAGGCTGAGCTTCAGGTAGGTTTTTTGTTGGTTGGGGTTTTTTTTGTGTGCATGTGTAGGGTGTGTGTGTGTGTGTGTGTGTGTGTGTGTGTGTGTGTAGAGGCAAGGATGATCAACTCTAAATACAAACAATGAAAATAGGGAGGGAAAGGGACATGGGAGTTAAAAAATAGAGTGGTTTCTGCTCTTGCCAGTGCCCTAAATGTTTTCAAATGAGGTAAGTTTAGAACATGCTTTTAGTGATAAATTTAATGGAAGTGATTTCTTTTCAGACAGTTGTTTATTTCAGAAGACATTTCATTAGTAGGGAAACATAATTGTTCTTTTCACTTGATGCTCCTATAGGGTGTCTAGTGTTTATTTCCTGAGAGTTACTATAAGAATGGAGGCTTGTGAGAAATTATGGAGCTCAGGTCAGTGTCTTAATCATGAAATTAAAACAGTAGATAAGAACAAATTCTTATAAAAAAAGGATCTCTAGTTTTTGTTTTCTAAAAAGAATATTCCAGTATCTGGTATTTTAAATAATGCTTAAATGCTAAAATAGGTTGTGGTCTGCAACTTTTAAAATTAACCATTTTTGATTCCTAGTACTTTACTTTCATTTTCTTGAACCTTTATTTTCTCCCATGATTTTAATTTATATTTTTTAGAGTTAGGCATCCTCAGTACTGCTGTACATAAAAATATCTCATTGTAGCACACATGTTCTTGTTTTAAAACACCATACTGTAAGTTCTTTTCCTACTAAATAGTAAGAACTCAGGTGAAATTTAGGGCATATTGCCAATGGGGCAGTACTTTTAGGATAATTTGCTCCTACCTAATGCTGTCAGTAGTTTTTTAAAAAAGTTTTATAATTGGGAAGTCGGAAATTTCCCTTACATCTAGGAAGAAAAATTATTCTATCAAATGTCATGTAAAGAAACTCTTGGGCCATAGTGATCACTCACTCACTCACTCACCCTGGTTTGTGTACGACTGAGGTGGTTTGCAAGATGCATAACTTTCCATGTTAAAATTGAGACAGTCCAGGGAGAACATTTCTGGAACTCGGAGTTACTGGGTCATAAAATCACTGTGAAGTTCTGAGCAAACCAGGAGTTATTGGTCACCCTAGTCCTGTGGTTCCTCATCTCTGACTGGGTGTGTAGAGTGGTGGAAGATGCTGAAGAGCTGACATTGATATTTGAGTGTTGCATATTTGTAATAAGAATGGTTTAAAAACTTGAAAATGGGGGAGAGCTTATGTAAAGAGAAATGAGATTTGGATTATTATAGTGTTTAAAGTTCTAATTTTATCCTTTTCTCCCTTTACAGAACTGATAGTGCAGCAGCCGACCCAGATAATTTAAAATACTCTTCATCCAGAGATCGGGGGGGTTCTTCCTCGTATGGACTGCAGTCTTCAAATTCAGTTGTGGTGTCTCGGCAAAGGCACGATGATACCAGAGTCCCTGGTGACGTACAGAATGACGAAAAGGGTATGTATTGCCTTTCCTGCTGGAATCATTTTAAAAGCCTTCCTCCTTCCTTCCTTTTGCCTTTCTCCCCACTTCTCTTCTCCCACCTCCCTCTTCTTCTGTCATAACATTAACTTGGTGGTTAAAATAGAAATACCACATACAGTATTATTTCTGAAACCCTTACTTTTTTAAAAAACAAAACCCTAAAAACATACCTTTTCTTATGTTCCACCCACCTCCTCAAAAATAGGAAGTGTTAATGTTTAAAATTGAAATCCCTCCTATTATTTTCCATTAGTCTTCCAACAAGTTTTGAGCCAAGTACAGAATCTGACTTAATCTAGTTTTTATTTTTCTGTTTATGTTCCACTTCAAATATAAATTAAAATTATTTTAAAGTGGGCAATTAGGTAGTAAGATCCTGAGCTATCAGAAATTGATTGTGAGAAGGGGAGCTCTGGTGGCTTAGTGGCAAGAAGCTGCAACTACAATCCCAGAGGTGCATGGTTCGAATCCACCAGATGCTCTGCCGGGGAAGGAGGGACAATCTCCTCCTGTACCAGTCAGATCTGATTTGACGGTACACGCACACAAAAATAATA